ACAAGATGTGTCGGAGATTTTTCGAAATCGCTCCCAAGGACGTTCCTTGACGGGGTCTTCCGCCCAAAATTCTGAAGGAGCGGTGACGCAATCGGATCGAACTGCATTGCGAACATGCCCGAATATAGGTGAGGAATACAGCGGATGAATTTGCGCTCCACAGAGTTCCCCCTGGGAGTACCTATGTCTCGCAGACATTAAAGCGAATGAATGTCCAGTCGTTCGTTGCATGGGAAACGAGAGAAATAACGGCAGTGGAGTGGTCGTATTCACTCGGCCAGCAGTTTCTCCCTGACGGTGCAAATTCGACCTGAGAACTTGCGATTTATTGAAACTATTAGGAGAACTGCGAACGATGGGGAAAAATGAATTTCAATGATCAGCTGTCGATTCTCTCGAGCAAGAGGCGTCGTTCAGTTTTCTAAATTCTAAACTACTCACGATGGTGCCGAGGCCGACGGCCAGAGATCCAGTCCGCGTGGAACAGCAGAAGCAACATTTGTGCATGGATATTTTTTGGGGCAACCTGCCCTACGGACGTCACTGTTCAGATTAGAGACGTTTTTAGCAGTTCGTAGAACTCTCGGCGGTCTCCAGCTGTAGATCCGTCGGTATTATACCAGTGCATAGCTCGCACTTCACTGCACCGGTTTCCCAACGGAGGTAACTTCACACCACCAACTAAGTCTAGCGAGTGCTGTCGAATCCGGACCGTCGGCGGTTTCGACGGCGACCGGCGTTCGCCCGAAAACAGAACTACTTTTCTCTTTCACTTTCAGAGTATTCGAAACCCTCGGCGCGCACACTAGCCGTGTCAGCTTGGCTCGCTTCGTTGCCAGCCTGCACTGCTCTCACCCAAGCAACGTGCTTGAGTCCGTACCGCAAACCTCTGGCCCAGTCTCGTCGCTCGTGGCATAGGAGGACCCTTCCCCTCTCCGAGGTCCTCACCTTCTACCCTTACTCCCGTTGCCGGGCTTCTAAATGTCGATTCCTGCTTTTGATGTTCCTTAGACGAGGCCGTCCGGATAGTGGGTCCCGCACGCAAATCTCACGAGAAACTGGGTGAGGACCATTTCCTGAAATCCATATGGACCCTCTTTCCGAACTCCGAAGGGAGTTCGTGAGCTTCGGGGATTTTCGTTTCGGTTTCCGTGTTGGCACTGCCGGGGAGAGGTCTCAACTTGGACTCGAGCCAAGTTGCGGGTGTGAGAACCCTCAGAGATGGAGTCACGCCCAAATATCCTCGGACACTACTTACAACATTCTATCCTGCTCGGGGTAATTCTCGTTGAGGTCCAGACTACAATCACCGCCTCCTCTTGTTAAATCGACCTCGCTGACGAGGGCTCGAAAAAAATAAGATCGTCGTCGACCGGCGTCCCCGGTGGGGCGTCGGTGTTGATTTCTGACGGAAGATACGCGCCCGAAAGGAAGAAACGCGCTGATCGATGTTTTCCAACCGACCGGTGTCTCGAAATAATCCGCACAGGCTTCCGCGCTCGATTGGTCTCGACTGTCTAGCCGGCGTTCCGGTTCAAGGTGTCGAAGACACGTTGTCTACAATTCGATGACCTCGACCCGGCTCGCCATAGACGACGGGACCGGCAATAGTGTTGAAAGCGACGACCGGTCCAGAGCTGAGATTGAACGGACAGGCTTCATCTTCATGTGCAGCGATTGCTGCAGCACGAGTCAGGCCTAAAAACTTCCGCGCCTCGCTTCCGCGATTCGGCCTCCCCTGACCACGGGATACCTTTGGAGTTCACTTTCGAATACGGACACCAGGACTTCGGCTGAGATTCGATCGTGTTCTCAGCGTCATATGTATGTTAGGCCCAAGAAATCTGCCTCGAAGCAACGACCCGCAGCGTCTCGCAGCTCCGGTCAGCCTGCTTTTCGCAATCAGAAGAAACTCAGACGATGGTCCAGCGAGCGCCCTCGATAACATTCAACCCTTGCAAGGATCTTCCACGCTGTGTTTTCCCTCAGACGCCGAACACGAGGGATTCGTGCAGGCAAGCGGCGAAACACGCCCAACCAAGGTCAGAGATAAGCGAAACGCAGCAGATGGACTCGAATTAATCTCGGGAAGCTACCCACAGATCTGCTGCTGAGAATCGTCTTCTTTCGCCGTAGATTACCTCACACAGGAGCCCTCCGAAGGGAAACAAGCCGGAGGCGCGGCGCATTCAGAGTCGAAGAGGCTTCTCGAGACAACCCTGGCGTCGACCAAGAAACGAGGCCCAGCCCGCGGGGCGGATTCTGAGCCGCTGAAATCAGCACCGGGAAGGTCACTATCGACGCCGCGCATAGAGCAAATCGGCCGCAATATCGGTGGACTCTTACTATACTGAGACGGGCTGCTCAGGGAAAATAAATTTCGTCAGGCGGAGCCACCGACTAGTACGTTCAAAATGACATCGCTCGGGTCCTGAGCACTTTAGAGGACGTCGGAGAGGGCCATGCGCTGGAAATGAATTAGGAAGCGCCGCTCAAGACAAAGGGGACAACTCTATTTATGACAAGAGAATATCGCTGCACGCGTAAACTCACCGGAGCACCAAATCAGCTAACAGCGAATATCAGCTCCCCGCCTGCGGAGGGAGGTTTCGAAAGTTTCGACAGGTAAATTTGTCACTAGGAAGTCAAATCCAGGAGATCATACCCGAGTCGATATAGGAAAAGTAGTGTGTCTCCTTTCGTCCTTCAGAATGTGATCATTTATGATTGTACGTCGCCGGTCTCCAATCAGCGTCGGAGCTTTCGCTGGTGACTGAGCGGCTCGCTGAAAACGAAGTCGCCGGGTCATTCCGATTCCGAGGAAAAGCTCAAAGTGGGGGGAAACAGCTCGCTGCTGCGGGAATCCCGAGAATCAAGAGTTTCCTCTTACCATGTGAAAGCCGCAAACAGCTCAGGTTTCCCCAGGTGCGTCTGCTGCTGGATGCACGGAACGAAATTCATCGCTATCCCCTTTCATACATTTCCGTTTTCTGTTAGCACTCCCGGACTTCCGAAACGGTCGTTGGTCCCCAAGGGAAGAGTTCGCGAGCCCCCAGGCTCCTCGAGGCTCAATTGCTGCCGCTAATACACACCGGGCTTCACCAAACTTGAAAGTCGAGACCGTGAATTGAGCTCGCTGCGGAACTCCCAAGTCGTTCTCCCGCCCGAGCGCCCCGCTGGCGCCGTCAACAGGTGCTCCCTTTTTCGGATCAAATCGGATAGACTGTCTCGCTTCCGGGGGCTAAATAGCGCGTTGTTTTTTTTCGAATTCCCCTTCTGATGGTTTCCTACTTGGAGGAACTATTCTTCATCCGTCAGGCGAATTGTGGAGCTCGAGCATGTATAGCGGGATTCCGGCTCGCACGCCGCAGGGACCGTGCATTTCAGAATCTCGTTGGAAGCGGGAAAACCCGTCGAGGGAAATGCGGTGTAATTAGACTTTGCTCGAGGAGTGCTCATGAATATTGCAAAGATTCAAGGAGGTGGCATGGACCAGCTTCAGGAATTTCCCGTCGAGCTCGAGCGATGTTGGTCTGAGGCTTCAAAGGAGGTTTCTCCATCTCCCCATTGGAGGGGTCATCCCATCGAATTATAATTACCGCTTTGCTGAGACATGCGGCGATTCGGGCAGCCCCTCTGCACATTCCGGGGTCCTCAGGCGGATCCTTGCCTCCGATGAGCCTCGAAACCTGCACGAAAAATCATTGATCAACTCTCCATTGAAGGGCGCAGCCGTATCTTCTCAACAGGGAACGGTTTGAGGTGTATCGACCAAAGCCCACGGGGGAAACAAAGTGTCACTTGTCTTTAGAGGGGCGGAGGGTGTGCGAGCGCTTTTCCCAGCTCAGGAGGTATGGGGGCACGCATCTTCAGGGAAGAGTGATTCTCAACAAGCTGTGATGCTGCACCCTGAGGATTCTGTCGGGTGACCGAGTCTAGTAAACGAAGGTTTGAGTGCCAGACGAGTCCCGATCAGGGCTCTTCATGAAAGGATGCTTCGCGTGCTTCCTGAGAAGATATGTCTTCCGCCACTGGTGTTCCATCCCATGAATTCTGCGGTTTTTGGAATCGGTATGCCTTGAGTGAGAGGTCCACGATAAATTGTCACCACGAGATTTTGATGGTCTGCAGTTCGTATCAGGTCGTCTTTTAAAGTCATGGATTAGTTTCACGAACGTGGATCCAGCTCGCCTTAAAGACTCTGTCCGAGTCCGGCCGGGTGAGGAGAGCTGGGGGGCCATGAAAATTTCCGTCGTGAACGGTCTTTCTCCCTCAACCTAGCCTTCTACGCTCATCGGGACACTCGACCCCGAATTATGCACTGGATGAAGGTTTGAGCAGAATCACGTTGAAACTTACCGGGAAGAGCGCCAAGTGAGCTCTGTAGAAAAAGGATAGTGGTGGATGACCAGTGTGAAGCAGCGGCGTCGCGTCATTTCAACGGCCATTGCATCTGTATGACGGTTTACGACCAAAGCGTATCAAAGCTTTCGAGTAACAGCGAAAGATAGCCGTCGGAAATTCCCGAAATCGTAGCTCGCTCTCTGTATAAAGCAGGCAAACCCCTCCGAGCAGAGGCATCGAGGAGGTCTACGGTCCTCTGAGAATTTCTCTGTCACTCCGAAACGGGATCCCCAAAAATGATTCCCCTTTGGCAATCCTGTCCGGCTACACCGGTCGATTCTCACGGAGTCGAGCCGCCAGCCATATGTGAAAACAGGAGCAGACTTCCTATTTGTTTCAACACCATGATGGTGCTCCGGTGGCGAGTGGGACTCGGACCCGGGGTCCCGCTAGGAGCGTATTGATCCCCGAACTCTGAGCTTACGTCATACGATACAATTTATCCCAAAGTCAAAGGCAAAAAACGCGTCATCCTGCACCGGTTTACACCGTCAAACGGGGTGCAAAGAGCGCGTTTGCTAGCGGTCTCGTAATCTCAGCCTGCAATAATTGAGAGAGAGAGAGCTGGTGGGAGCGCGGTTTCGGTTTGGCGCTACATAAGTGCCGCGATCCATAGAGGAGACTTCCGAATCGTCGGACAGCTATTGTCATGTACCTTCACGTATTTCCCGTGGCCGTCTCATTCATTGCGCTCGCCTCGACGGCCGTTGCAGCGGGTGCCCAGAGACCGCTCATCTGTTACTGGGAGTCCTGGTCAAGGTATGGCGGAGGTTCTCTCGAACTCCAATACGGTAGAACCCCTCTGATTTCTCGCAGGCAAAGCAGATTTCCGTCCCTGTGGAGAGCATGTGGAAGACCTTTCAACGCTCGAATGAGAGTTGTCTCTTTCGGGTTCTCTGATGAGAGTTTCGACTTCGACTTTTCCCAGATATCGTGTGGCCCCTTACACAGGGAGCGTGGAGAACATACCCATCCACCTGTGTACGCATTTGATCTATGCCTTCGCTGGCTTAGACGAGAACACATGGAAAGTCAAGTCTCTCGAGCCATACTGGGACCTGGATCTCGGCGGCTTCAACCAGCTCGTTGCACTCAAGCAGAAGAATCCCAAACTCAAAGTTAGTTTCGCCGTCGGAGGATGGAACGAAGGCGCGACGAAGTATTCGGACCTCGTGTCCGACCCGAACCGGATCAAGATCTTCGTGGACTCCGTGATGCAATGGATCACGACCTTCGGCTTCGATGGTCTGGATCTGGACTGGGAATATCCAGCCGACGCCGCAAGAGGTGGGAAAAGCCAGGATAAAGCAAATCTCATCGTACTTCTACGGGCTCTGCGGCAAGCTCTGGGGGAGAAGCTTCTCACGATCGCCACCTGTATCCCCGTCGAGAAGATCGCTGCCGGATACGACGTTCCGCAAATGGTCAAATACGTAGACTTCATTCACGTTATGGCATATGATCTCCGAGGTAGTTGGGATAACGTTATCGGGAACCACGTCTCGCTGTATCCCAGCGCGAACGATCGGGGATTGTACAGCAAATTGACTGTGGTAAGCATCGATCCATTTATCTGAATGAGGAAGTCTACGAACAGGTTTAGTATCGAAATCATCATTTTCCCATTTCCAACCGAAAGAAACAATATTTATTTATTTCCCCATTCATTTAGGAGCAAGGAATGCAGAACTGGCTCGATGCCGGTGCACCACGCGAGAAACTCATCATGGGATTGGCGTTCTACGGGAGGTCGTTCAAGCTGGCGGACCCATCGAACAAGTTACAGGGAGCTCTATCAGGTGGGAGCGGCACTTCAGGTCCCGTTTCCCAACAAGACGGAACGCTGTTCTATTTCGAGATCTGTAAGAAACTCCGCGAGGGCTGGACTCGCGTATTCGATGATGACACGAAAACGCCCCGCGCATTCTCCGGAGACCAGTGGGTCGGCTACGACGACACCGAAGGCATTCGACACAAAATTGAGCTCCTCGATCGGAAGAAATACGCGGGCGTCATGATATGGGCAATCGATCTCGACGACGCGAGCAATTCCTGTGGAAAGGGTAATTATCCATTGGCGACGGCAACTTTCGAAGCTCTCAGAGGTGAAAACTCCGAGGAGAACGAAATCGATGTGGGGACGCGATCGAGCTCGGGACCGACCGGTTGGAGTACCGTTTCCGAATCGGATCAAAAGCGCACGACCGAATCGGATCAGAGGCGCACGACCGAAACGAATACTCGGCGGGAAGTAGTCACGGAATCCGGACCAATTGTGGATTGTTCTTCGGGAGAAGGCTTCTTGCCTCATCCCACTCATTGCTCGATGTTCATCCGGTGCGTCAGTCGGAAGCCGGTTGAAATGACCTGTCCCACCGGCCTGATCTTCGATGCCTCTGTTTCGGTTTGCAATTGGCCGGTGGATGTAGATCCTAAGCTACCTAAAGGATGTCCTGATGCCAATCCATAATGTTGAAATGAATAAATTGAATTCCCTGCACTTAGAATATGGGATGTTTATTCAATATTGAGTCCTCCCCTATGAGGCGATCCAATGCCCCAGGGAGCTGCACTCCAGGAGACGCCTCGATCTGAGCGTCGCGACCCCTGATTCGAAATCTGAGGCAACTGACGTTTTCGCATCGGCTCTATCTATAAGGGGCAGATAATCATCGACGCTCGTACTAAATCCTCGTCCGAGAAACGGCGGTCTATTCCCGGAGAGGAAATAGGTCGGGATTCTCCCAGAAGAAATACTTCCCCATACGTCTAAGAATCCGCGCGTGACCTCGACCCATCGGAAACCGAATAAATTGAATGGATCTTCTCAATGAATTCCCCTTCGATCGGCGAGCTTGAGACGGAAGTCGATGCTGGGTTTTGATAGGAAGCCGCAATTGAGCATTTCACGCCGGAGACTCTCGGCACATTTATTCGTCATGGAAACGTGGAGGGCGCGAGTCGTTGTCTCCGTGGAAAGCTCGCAAGCAATCGATAATTTCAACCTCAGCAACCTTCATGAGCTTCAGTGGAGGGTGCACCGCTGAAAAACCGATTCCAACAACGCTGACGTGTCTATCCTGCCGCCACTCGCTCAACGTGAATTCATTCAATTCCTTGCGCCCTTAATATCTTTCTTTCGAGGACGCCCTCATGCCGACGCTGTGTCGGGGAGGTCGGCAGCCGGAACGATAGGGGCAGTGATATGATTCGTTCACGCAGTCGGAACTCGAGTCACCATCGCGGAAACAGGAAAGAAGCTCCGTGTCAACGCCGGAACCGACCTACAGAGCTTTCGCAGTCGCTTTGTGGTCACGATGGTACGTATGTCAATTTATACGGCGCCGTTATTCCTCCGTCACCTCAATCCAATAAGGTTGCGTCTAAGCTCGAACTTACCCCTCTCAACTTAATCGTTGCGCAGTTCGGTCGAAAGAAAAGAGCCCAGGATTTCGAGGATGTGCCGCCGGACTCTCCCTTCAAAGTAGCTTTGAACAACCCGAAAGTGACATGGACCGGGCATTTGACCTTCGTCACAGCCGCCCTCGTGATGGTGAGAATCACGAAATGTTCCGCATCCATGCAATGAGCTGCTCTGCCCTCCGATCAGATATTGGAATCAATCAACGAACGCAAGATTTTCTCGCGCAGATTTCACGGTCGGTGCATTGCGCCCTGATGGTATACGCTTACCCCTGGAGGTGGTTTCAAGGTAAGAAGCTGACTCGATCTTCTGAACCAGTGCGAGCCGGGTTTAGCTCTAGAGCCCTGTTCCTGATCTAGGTTGTGGAGATATTTCGCTCTTCCAGTGGAGGATGAAGCAACCCTGAACACTTTCTTCGACGACTGGAACGTGGCTTTCGCGGCCATGCTCGCGTGGTATTCAGTGATCATGGTGAGTTTTTCCGAGCTGGAGCACACTAGCGACTGTCCCGAAATTTTCTAGCCTCGAGGGAACCCTGATCTTAGCGGGAAGCGATCTAGGACTAATTCGAAAGGACTTATGGAAGCGCAGCGATGAGAGCTAATAAATGTTTCAGGCACGTCGTCGCTGGATTGTGGCAGGCTACTTCTACGGTTTTTTCAGCCTGGGATACCAGATCTGGTGCTTCTTGAACCTTCCCGGCAAGACCACCTTCATGTGGCCTCCACCGTCACAAGTTTTGCTCTACTTCAAATGGTGCCGCGTAGGTCTGGCGGGAGTCATGGTGAGAGCTGAAGAATGCAGTCTCAATCTTCAGCGATATTACGCGTTCTCTTTAGGGATACACGTAATTGAGAATCATTCAGGAGCATTTGCAAGAGTTCCGAGATTCTAGAGTCGGGCTACGGATGCCCGAAAAAAAAGACCGCTGGGGGTAACGGCGTTTGTTCCATTTTCTTGCAGGGCCTGAATCAGTTCGTATGGACTCTCTTCATGTTGACGTTCAAGACGCCCTTCTAAGCCTTCCCATGAACTCGTCTGGGAATCATGATGGATCGCGATCCCGAAAAACGATCGGTGGAGAGCCTACGTCGGGAGGAAAAAAAGTGTCTTGTGTAGAATCTAGCAGACCCTTTCTTTCATCGGACGAGTTCGTTCCATGAAGAAATTTTTTTGCCTGAATACTTTATTGAGACAGATTCAATGTTTCGCCCGCATGTTCAGAATGCCAGCTCTCACAGCGCGATAAAAACCTGGTCGAATTTTCGAGTTCATGCCACATCTCTATGAGAATCCATGCATCCTCGACATCGAGTGGGGGGTAGCAGTCAAGAGACGTATTCCTTGATTCTACGATTGGTATTGCACGTTTTATCAGCTCATATCCGGTAACTTGAACTCCCACGCATACGGAATTCTCTCCGGACAGTACTCCGGGGGATATACGGGGGAATTGATCAATTACTCGAAGAGGCTCCGGAGGAGGGGGGAAGGGGAAACTTCGTGGTTGACCAGCGGGATTTTCCTCGTACCTTACAATCACAGCTCCCTCGGTGCGACGAATTTTCATCTCAAGAAGCACCCCGGAGTTTCACAGCTAGCCTATCCTGAATCAGGCAGCGTCTCACGGACGCCTTAAATTTACGAAGAGCCGGTTCCGAAGGTTCCGTCGACTGCTCAAATGCACGAGATAGCAACTGAAGCTGGGGATTCAATGGGGATGGCGACCGACACTCAAGGAATACGGCGCGGCGGCGTAGACGATGCACGTTCAAAGTCATGTCCCGAGTTCAAATCTTCTTCTCTCGCAAGAGATATGACGTGAGATCTACGTGGGTTTGAGAGGTCAATGAAGTTTGCGCGTCGGATTTGCCCTTGCACATACGATCCAATATATTGCAGAGTTTGCTTTCTTCATGCCGGCGGAGATCGATTTTACGGTTGAAGGATAAGCCACACAGAGGGCACTGGAAAGGTTTGAGTCCCGTGTGCCGTCGGGTGTGGGTGATGAGGTTCGAACTCTGCGAGAATGCCTTGCCGCAGGCGACACATTTATGCGGCTTCTCACCTAGAATGAGATTAATCTCGTGAAGGGCATTTGCAGATTGCCCCGAGACGTCTATAGCGAGAGTCAGTCGGGATTAATTCAACACATGCAACACCCAAAGTGAAGCAGCTTCGACAGTCCACACGCTGGAATCTAGATAGTTTCAGCTAGCACTTTCCGAATCCATTTTGGTGTCATGCGCCGAAACTGAGCGAAGAAAACCCACGAATGTGATGTCATTGATTCATCGTCAGGTCGCGGGTCAATGTAAAGCTCGCCTCGGAACAACTAGGTAAGCCTTCCGTGGCTCGTAGGCTCCGGATCATACCCCCCCTACCGAGTTTTCCATGGCTCCGTCATGGATACTGCGCCATGACTCCAGAGATTGACCTCGTACCCTATCGTATCATCATGCGGTGACCGATGTGTACTTTGTTTGTTTAGATATTCTGGCCGTGGCGAGTACATTGGTGATACTCATGGCTTGGCGGAACATCCGAGATTGCCCATTCCCTTCGAATCGCTGTCTCTCAAATATTCTGTGGAGGCGTCGCAGCTCGGAGAGCGCCGTGCGCTAGTCACTCACCGGTATGGATAAACGTATGTTTTTTCATGTCGGATTTCTGGTGGAACCGTTTCCCGCAGTAAGGACAAGGGAATGGTCGCACGTTGGTGTGAATCAAGTGATGCGTCGAGAGAGTAGATGACCGCTTGAATCTCTTCAGGCACACAGAACATTCGAACTGGCGTTCCCCCTGCGGAATCGTTTTTCTTGAAATTAGATTGAGTATTGGAGAAGCTGGCAAATGAGGGATTTTCCCGAGCTTGGGGTATCTCGGCGTCAGCCCTCCCGGCGACGGGAAATCCCGGGAAGCCCGATCTCGGTCGCGCTATGATGTTGCAATTTCCCCTCCTCGAAACTCGAGAAACATCGCCCTCGTCTCCTCGGCCGGGAAACCCGGACCCCGTCGGCGAAGAGCTTCCTTGTTCCTGAATTCTGATGCCGGGATGCCAGACTGACAAAATTCTTCAGGTAGATTCCCTTGGCGAATCCTTATCGCCAAACATCTATTATTCACATCCACTCAGACTAGAATTAAGGGATTACCTTTATTCGGACTTGATCGATGAGTAGGGATGCGATTCCCAACGGGGTTTCCGGATGGTAGGCGAATTGTTGGGCGATTATATTCCAGTCGAAGTTGAAGATGCTAGGTGCCGGGGGCATGGGGGGCATCGGAGCTAGAAAACAGAATGCTCGTGATTTATGATTCTTAATACTCCGTTCTCAAAAAACCATCCTCCGCACTCTCTATTTATGCTGGAAATTGTGCTCTGGAGGAATTTCTCGGCCGATTTTTGCCCGCGTTACGCGCAGATGACACCTCCAGGTCATTCAAAGGGGGAATTCCACTTTATTCTCGTGGCGTGGTGTTCCGATCTACGGAAGGAAAACCATCCTGATCATAACGAACTACACGATCATATCTTTTATTCGAGAAAAAAAACATACATCCAGTGAGCCTACGTGGTATCGGACTCTCTACCAAAAATTCTTATTAAGACGCTTCTCGTAAGGGATTTCTCCACTCCGGCATTTCCGATCGAATTCGACCCTATCAGTGTAGGAGAGGTATGTGAAGAGGGCAATGGGGAAAATGAGGGCTGTCGCAGCCAGCAATCGTCCTTTCGCTGATGGTTTGTAGTACTCGAAGTGAGCTGCTCTCGCGGCCTGCCATCGAAGAATTGCAGGATCCATAACCGGGCCTGGAAAGGGGAATCTTCATTGGAGTTGCCAACTTCCTAAGAGGTCTCGGGAACGTGTCAGGAGCGACCTACTCTATCTCGGGACGCCTTCAGACATGACTAGGGGAGAGGTCTCCCTGTCATCTCGGCACTATGAATTTCCGAGATCAATATCAGGGGCCTGTACGCTCGGCCAAGCGCAGGGGAATATCTTCATTGTTGAGACTAGCCTGTTCCACTCACCTGGGGGGCCATGAGGATCCATGACCTTCAGGATATACTCTTTCCGAAGAGCTTGTCGGATTTTCGCTCTCTCGGCGATAATTCGCTTCTGATCGGCAGTGCACTCATTCTCCAAGGCAAATTCCGACGGTATTCTATGAGCCATTCTCCGGGCTCCGCAAATAAGGTCGCCTATCGAAGAGTTTCCTCAGTCCTCTCAGAAGTATTTTCCACGCGAGCAGACGATGCTCTATTTACAAACATCGGGCTCTATCGGCACCCGGAAGCGCTCGGACGGTCTACCTGACCCAGGTTCGCATAGCGGAGTCTGTTTGATCTATCCAGAAGGTATCTCTCGTGCGATAACGTGCGCCGGAGCTCTCGCAGCGCGCGGGTCCCGTCTTTCATCAAACGAGCACGCAAAGTCACTTCCGGGTGCAGCTTTGAATGGATGGAGCCCCGCAGACAGAGATGCAAAGTGAAACCGTAAGCCGGGTACGAGAGAAAACATTGGGTCGAATAGCGATACTGTGAGAAAGCGACGGTTCGCTCCGACCTCCCACAACTCGCTTTGAGAACTCTTTTTCCCAAACATCAATATCAGATCAGGCGAGTCTCATACCCGCATGCCGCAGGTCGAGGGTGAACGGTGGACGAGACCAACACTCCATTTGGAATACGGTGTATTCTCTTTCTCCGGTGTCCTCCTTTTCAGTCGATAAATTAATGTTCTCTCGTAGCCGCAGAATCCAAGTCCCAACACGTGAACACCATTCCAATAAAAATGAATTTTGTTTTCAGAATGACAGCTTTCGAAGAGATGGGAGTGATCCCCGAGATTGCGCGAGCCGTGGAGGAGCAGGATTGGAATCTTCCGACAGACGTGCAAGCAGAAGCTGTCCCCCTGATTCTCGGCGGAGGGGACGTCCTAATGGCGGCCGAGACCGGATCTGGGAAAACAGGAGCCTTCTCGCTACCTGTCGTACAAATCGTCTGGGAGACCATGAAGGACAGTTTGAGCGGGAAGAGTAAACACACGACGTCGGCGACGAGGTCAAAGCTTCAAATGAGTGTTCACGATCGTACACCGCTCCTAGCAGTCAGTCCCGACGGATTTACTACTCAGAGCCGGGATCAGAAAGCATGGCACGGCTGTAGAGCCACCAAAGGCGTGTCCGGCAAAGGCAAATACTACTTTGAGAGTAAGGTGACCGACGAAGGCTTGTGTCGGGTCGGATGGAGCACGCAGACAGCCAATCTCGATTTGGGCACGGATAAATACGGATACGGCTTCGGAGGTACCGGGAAGAAGTCCTTCAATAAAAGTTTCGATGCGTACGGGGAACCTTTCGGGATTCACGACGTCATCGGGTGCTATTTGGACCTCGACGAGTTCACGATAAAATGGTCTAAGAACGGCGTCGACTTGGGGAAAGCTTTCTCGATTGCGACTCATCTACAGAGGGAAATATTCTTCCCGGCGGTTGTTCTGAAGAACGCGGAGATGTCTTTCAATTTCGGGAACGTGGAAGCCTTCAAATACCCGCCAGCAGCGGGCTTCGAAGCCTTTGGCAAGGCGACTTCCCTAAGAGAGAACTCGAACTGCGGAGCTCCGGAGGCGGTGCATAAATACGAGCCGCATGCTCCGCAAGCCATAATCCTGGAACCCTCGAGGGAACTCGCCGAGCAGACGCTAAAATGCTTGGAGAGCTTCGCGAAGTATCTCAGCGATCCGCAAGTGAAGTGTTTATGCGCAACGGGCGGAGCATCCGCGAACGAGCAGCTCAAAGCTCTCCAAAGCGGCGTCGATATCGTCGTGGGAACACCAGGACGACTAGAGGACCTGGTCAGCACCGGGAGACTATCCTTGAAGCAGTGTAAGTTCCTGGTTCTGGACGAAGCCGACGGACTTCTGAAGGCTGGCCACGACAATCTCATCTGGAAGCTCCACAGAGAAACCCCGAAAATCACGGCCGACGGAAGACGCCTTCAGATGATCGTGTGCTCAGCTACACTCCACAATTTCGAAGTCAAGAAACTCGCAGACCAACTGATGAACTTCCCGACCTGGGTCGATTTGAAAGGAGAGGACAGTGTTCCTGACACGGTGCACCATGTCGCTGTCATCGTGGACCCGTCGAAAGACAACAGCTGGAGAACCCTCCGGACTCACATCCAGACCGACGGAGTTCACGCGAGAGATAATCTCGCAGGCCCAGAAGGGGCGTCTGAGGCAGTCAAAATACTCAAGGGGGAATATTGCGTCAAAGCCATCCGAACCCTCAAAATGGATCAGGGGATCATATTCTGCCGTACGAAACTCGACTGTGATAATTTAGAGCGGTACTTCGAGTCGCTGGGGGGCGGGCCCCGGGGCTCATCTACTTCTGATCTCACTTGTGTGTGCCTCCATGCCGACCGTTCCCCGAAGGAGCGAAGCGCGAACCTTCAGGCCTTTAAAGAGAAACGAGTCCGCTTCATCATTTGTACGGATGTGGCCGCCCGTGGAATTGATATCAAAGGTGTGCCGTACGTGATAAACGTCACTCTACCCGACGATAAGGCCAACTACGTTCACAGAATCGGGCGCGTAGGCCGCGCCGATCGGATGGGACTCGCGATCTCTCTGGTGGCATCTGCTACAGAAAAAGTTTGGTACCATTCGAACTGTAAAAACCGTGGGGTGGGTTGCCACAACACGAATCTAACAGATCAGAGAGGCTGTTGCATCTGGTATCAGGAAAAGCAACTGCTGGGGGAAATCGAGGAGCACTTGAAGGATACCATCAATCAGGTTTGTTCCGTCTCCGTCGCTCTCATCCCTCAATTCCCGCGCCGGCGGAAAAGAACAGCGTCCACGGCGTGCTTGGCCGGGTCTCTCAAACTTGAAATAATTGTTGGCTCCTCCGATTTCCAGGTTGACTCTAGTTTCGACATCCCCATTTGCGAGTTCGACGGGAAGGTCACCTACGGTGCGAAACGTCAGAAAACCTCGGCGGGTCTCTACCAAAACCACGTACAGCAGATGGCTCAGACGGTAGCGGAACTCTCTGATTTGGAGAAACAGGCTCAGAGTTCCTATTTATCTCTCATGTCCAGCGAGTTCTAGAAAGATGTTGGACTCGATCGATTGATGCATGGCAAGGGGAGGAGAACGCATGAAACTTCTAATTTAAATTCGAAATGCTTTACATCCGCAACGCGCTTATGGATGGAGCTTTGTGGATGGCGGAGCAACGCCCTCATATTTATTCACTCCCATTGAGAGAAGAGTTTGAATAAAGAGCCAATTTTGGATCTGCTTCTGGATAGGATTCGATGTCTCGTTTGTTGCCCGAGTCGATGAAGTATGCTCGAGGCCTCTTGTTTAGCAATAGTAATAATTGATGATCAAATGCGAGAACTGATACGAGATCATCGAAGATCCGTGACTCGAGACGGTAGCTCGGGAGGAGATGCTCCCCCTCCTCTTGAAGGCCTGATCGCGCGGTACCCCGAATTGGCGCGCCGATACGCCGGTACGCAGCCCGCGGGTCCTGCGCCATGCTCAGTAGCGCAAAAGAACACATGGAAGAATGGAAGAAGGATAGATCCATATCAACGCTTGCTTCGATTGGAAGAAATCCATCGAAGTAGATTATTATTCAGGTTCGGAGATGACGAAGATCTCGGGATTTCTGAGAAAATGTCCGTTCCTCGCTGATTTCGGACGAAAACTGTCCGTCTTCCGGCTATTTCGAGAGGACTATGCTCGCTCTTCGTTCATTCCAAAGGTATTCCTCCGAGCTTTCGGCGCGGGATGTCTCCGCGGATATTGACTGCATAGGTGAGGCCCTTCTGCCTGAATACCGAGTTACGAGCGTGAGATTGGGCTCAGGTTCGCTTGTGAACGACGAAATAGAAGATTTCCATTCGAGTGTTCAGGAGGGCGAAAGTAGACTAGAATGCGACAAAGCAGGCTCATGCTCTCGATGAGAGAGGTCGAAACTGACGCGAAGCGTGCCGCTGCGGTCTCACGCCCAGCTCTCGTGAGAGGATCCGGCGTGAGCGTGTTGGCTTATCGGCCATCACCGAATGGAAGGAGGTACGGAAGGATATTTGTCAGATGCTTTCCAACTTTGGTGCGGACGACGTTTAGATAGCATCCTCCTTGATTCAAATTTTATTTGTCCCGCGGATTCCATCGAATCGAAGTTTGACGTAGACTCTAAGACCGCTTGAATTCATGAGTCATGGTCCATGGTACTTTCCAGCTTGAAATACTTCAAAGTTATTGTTGAAGAGTGCTCAGTTTCGTTTCTTGAACTCGCTTCAGTCCGAGCCGAGAGGGTACTGCGATACCGATTTCCTCCGCCTTGAGTACGGCAGAGGCACAAGCAGAGGAAAGGCTTCCTCTGCGGGCCCATGACTCTGATGGCCTTTAAATCGACTGGTGAACGCTGGACGCTTTTCCGTTAGGGAGAATTATCTCAGAGGAGAGCTGTGCGACAGACAATGACAATGGAGCAGCACAGGATGCAGACTCTGAGAATTCCTTTGCAGATTTGACTCGTCCGTTCGTGGATCATTCCGTCGACTCAATCCTACGCTCAGGAGGAACGCTCGAATTGGAAGAAGCGAGATCTATTGACTTCGATTTCTACCGCACGATGGAAGAAGTAGACTTCTCCCTTCACGGCATTGAGGGCGCTTGCCCCGCTCAGATCGCGAAGACTCGCGGTCGGGGTTCCGACGGAGTCGGATCGTTTGGATTCAGACGATAACCTATACCTAGAGAACCGCACCCTGTATGGACGGCTACCAACAGTAGTAACACTGATATGGAATACTTCCGACGAAGCAGCGACGCTTTTTCGAGAGTTCTGAAAACACCAGGGATACAATAATCAGCTGCTCCACTACTCTCACTTAACTCACCAAACAAGCCGAGTGATGGGGGGACCGCCCCGGGCTCCTGCTTCAAGATCTCGTCGATTAGATACGCACGTGAGAAACATGTCGGCAGGAAAGGTCCCTGTACGGCCATCGTGACTGCTACGTCTGATAAGACATGCTATCAGTTGGACAAGCTCTTGCGATCGCAAGACACCCCGCCTCCCCGATGCTCCGCCCCTGGCACCCGACCAATGGGAGACGACTCCCGGCCTTCAAGAGCTCCGGAAATATGCATCCAACTCCGACATCCCCTCGGGTGAGCATCGCATCGGCGGGATTCGTGGAGGACGGTCCACGTCGTTTCCGGATTCATGGGAAGATGTCTCCGGTCGATTGATGTTCCATCAAGATTCACAGTGACCCAAAATCTCCAAGATTCGGGGCTTTCATGCCAAAATATGCTCAGGAAGTCTCCTCACTCGATCGGTCTGACGGATATATGGCCAAGAGACGTGGCCTCGAAAGGGATGGCGGTTTTCACTATCCTGATATGATGTCATTATACGTATGGAGAGAATATTCTCACAAGGGTTGAATATTGTTCCCTACCTCCTTCTGGAATGAGTCATGGGATGACTCTCCTGCTCCGACGCCGACGAGTTTCTGACCGAGAAGTTTCCGATATATCTTCACCTTCACCATACGAGGTGAATTCCGACCTCCCGACCACAGGAATACCTCAAGAGTCGAGGATTGATTACAGATTTTAAGGGAGCACGAGAGCTCAAGGATACTGGAATGACATCCGTTCACATCGAGGCTCAAATCGGACTCAAACATAGAGCTCTCTACTATGGTTCTTGACTGCCTGGTCGCTATGACGAAGCCGTCGCAGCAGAACCGATGATGCATTTTCCGATCCGATCGGCACGGGGAACAAAACTCAGGACGACAAAAATATTGTTAGCGTCGTGATAAACTACGATTGCCGCCGGAGAGCGCTCCCAGTAGCAAACCAATTTCACAAGCGGCTGATTCGGATCAAATGAGGCGACACATTGAGCAGGAGCGCCTAGACACCTCCGCCCCGAGAAGCAGCGAGCTCTTCCTCAAAAATGTGCGGCCACGAATTATGGATAGGATGAATCTTCGGCTGGAGCCAGCCCAACTCAACTCGCTCGAAGGTTGCGGGAGCAATCGAGTCGAGGCACAGTGCGAGTGAACTCCAGCTTGAAGATGAGATACATTGGTCCGAGCTTCGATTCCCGCCCCGGAGTCCTATTCCAGGTCAGGGCATGAATGATCTCGATAACTGTAATGCATCCTGCTGGAGCAAGATCATGTGCCAAACTTATCGCTTCAGACCGCCGCGGGTATGGACGTTCCGGAACGCTAACCCAGAATCGCGTCGAGACCGTGGAATATAGCGCGAGCGGGATTCCACGAGCTCGAATGTTCGTGGGCTCCAGAGCAGCGAACACCGATGATCGCACTGGCGCGGGCGAGCTTTCGGCACCGCCAGAACCGCGGTCCTCGACCTCGCTCGGATTTTCCGATCTCCCGGGGATTGTTGCCTCATCCCGACTTCTAACTCCGGGTACGTTCATGTCTCCGAGCGTAAGGAAAATAGCGTGGCATATGGCGGGATCAGAACGGACACCAATATGATGGAGGTCGTTTTTATTCGTCCTTCAATTTATCTCTACGTACACGAGAATACTTCATACGATCATTCGCTTCCCGATTTCGCCGAATTCGCGCTCCGCACTCGTGGAGCCTCATCTCTGAACATTCCCACAGCTGATCGTATGGTTAGTGGGGGAAGTGATTTCAGGCGTAAACGACTCCTCGCGTGACCATTGGCCCACACGTTCTCTCAACAAACTCGATCTACGAGCATCCCACAGTTCCACACTCTTCTTGCAATTTATGTCTTGGATCCGTTTCTTCAACAGCGGAGACAGACAAAGGATTGTCGAAAATCGTTTCAAGATACCCAGAACGAGATCGAAGATTCGAGAGGTGGGATGAGATTCTCTCCGAGCAAATTGATGGAATTTCGTTCCCCCAATGCGTTTCCGACAGTTTCAGGATCGCTGGAAAGATGTGACTGTAGCGGAGAAGCGGTTCCTTCGCTTCTAGAACCGTTGCGAATCCTGCACGTGACTACATTCCAACCGTAGTGTCAGTCGGATCATCAGAGCGAAGCAGGAAGGCGCTCCAAGATTTCCATCTTAGGCTGAGAAGCCTACTGGGAGCCGGGCTCGGACCGACTGACAGAAAACGACAATTAGGCCCTTGGATTCTCCGCGAGGTGTACATGTCGACTTCTCTCGGAAACTGAGCAAGCTCAGGCGATGGAGTGAGCAGAGAAAGAGTGGAGGCGAAACGGAGAAATGGAGAGAATTGATCCAGCTCTGACAGCGAGATACATTGAGCACAACAAGCTAATCCGATTTGAGGATTTCTCTCGGAAGCCGAACCTCGCTGAGAGGAGAGTGCGGCGTACCCCCGATTCCGGAGTTCGACGGCTGAGCGCCCCAGGTCGTGGCTGGGCGCACTCTGGGGTTTGAAATCCAACGCTCAGCTTCGATGCAGAGCATCGACTCGCTGAGGACTTATGTGTATCTCGCATCGTGTCACCCTCCTGCGGGGACAGCTTTTAGTACTTGCTGATAGTCTGAGATAGCGGGCAGAGCGTTGCGGGCTGTGACATGCTTGTTCGAGCTCGAACCGCAGAGAACATCTTCCGTGATCCTAATGGATTATTAATCCTGCTGCGACCAAGAAAACGTCTTTGCCGACCCGTTAAAGCCGATTTGCTCTTTTAACCTGAGCCATCTTCGCTATGCTTTGCTTAAGGGGTATGAGTGCCGTCGCTCACCTGGTCCCCCCGATCCCGGGGTATAGCTTGACTCTTGGCCCAGATATACTAGCGAGACAAATACACAAAGATTGCGATCTGTCACCACACGAGTGAAATCAAGCTCGGAGGGAGACTGGGGGAACGGGGATCCGGGAATTCTCAGGCAACTTCGAGAAATTCGCAGAGCGACTCGAGAAATCTAAGAATATGATCCCGGCCGGAGGGCTCATAACCCGTTCCCCTCCATCCGCATAAAGCATAGTATCATCGATGGTATAGCAGCGTATACCAGTAGCGTCCATAGGGGAGGGGCCCAGGGGGCCATGGCCCCCCTCAAGATTTTCAGTCGACCTGTCGTCAGATGGACGCACTTTCAGCGTACTCTGGTTGCTGAAAACAGATCCTCGGAGTACGATGAAAGGAGAGAGATTGGATGGCTCGACGTCGTTGAAAATTCATCTAGAAATGCCGCTCACTGTTGAAGAGATTGTGGACTACATGGCGGCTAATCCGAGCAAGTTTGAAAGTTCGATGGTTGTGCTATTTGTGATGGATTAAAATCTGA